TTCCAATCGAAATTGGGCCGTACCTTCCCAACACGCTGATGGCCGTCACTGCTCTCACGACTGGTCCTGTGTTCCGCCTCAGAGACTCTCTCTACCGGCTCCTCTGTCCGAAGCTGAGGATATGAATACTATTTCTCGATTCCATGTACAGAGGATCCCAGGTATTCGAACAGCCAACTCTGCTCGGGCTGTGAGCATACGTAACAATGTTTGCACAGCTTTCAAGGCCGGCCCGCGTCAATGCACCGCACGCCAGTTCTCGCTGTTCGAGCAGCGCACGCTGCTCGCGATGCTCCTCGTCCGCTACGAGTGGTGCCTGCCCATGCACTCGCCACATGTGCAACGGCTGCAAAACGAGTTTGGCGCGTTCGGGCTGAGCATCCCGCATGATCTGGACATTCAGTTCGTGCTTAGGCAGACCGGCGAGAAGGAGAAGGTGGACGGAGAGAACTGGCAGGAAGACGCGCAGGTGTAGGATCTCTCCCGCGCTCGTTTTTCTGTCATTTTCACATTTTCATTTTTTCTCCTTATTGGCGAATGGGCCGTGTGTTGCTGGAATTAACACGCGTTCGTGCAGTCGAATGTTATTTTAGTTGATGTGAACCAGAGCCTTGCTAGAGCTCGTCATTCACATGTGATCGCTTGATCGATATTCTTCCATGAACTCGTTCTGACTCTACTGTACACAGACTGACACGCGACAGATTAATTAATATTGAGCCTGCTAGGGCGGGCGGTGTTGGCAGGCTTGATCCTGCCAAGGTTGACGACCGTCTCGAGCGACTCGTTGTCGTACTCCTCCGTCGCACCCCAGATCTTAACAAACTTGTCAATAATGTCCTCCTTAGGGTTCGGGTTCAGCTCAGGGTGGGCAATGAGCATGCCAAACACTGCGCGCCAGGCTGAGTTGAGTGCGCCGGCGACCCACCTGCGCGCGATCGTCAGTGAGCAACGCTGTGCGTGAGGGGTGGAAACCGTGATCGAGACTCACCCGTGGAAACACGACGTGGCATCGCCAGCAAAGTGGAGCCGCTGCTTGCTCGATGCGGGCTGGGTGACGTACGGGTAAGCGTAGCGGAACTGGCCCGGCGCGAACTGGCAGAAGGCGCCGAGCTGGAAGGAGTCGCGGTGGAAGTCCCAGGGGTAATAGTCCTCGAACTCGGCCCAGAGCTCCTCGACTGGCTTCCTGTGCAGCTTCGCAAGGTTGCGCATGATGAGGTTGAGCATGACACGCTCCTCAGGCGTGTCCCGGCCTTTCATCAGTCCGCCAATGCGCTGCGCGTCCTGCATACCGTTGTACGACGCGATCATGCAGTTCGACCTGGACTGTCCTGGGAACTGTATTGGGTGCGACTCATCGGGTCCGTACCTGCATGGAAGAGGTCAGCACTGCCAGGACGATAGAGAACATTGCGAAAACCCACGAGGGATATACCGCATCGCGGATGGGCATGTCTGTACTGGACTGCCCGCCAAAGATGCCTATCCTTTCCCACCATGCAGTCTTGAACTGGATGCCAACCTTGATGGACGGCGTGTACATGAGATCCTTGATGGCGTTCTTCTGCCCGTAGCTGAGTCCGGCCCTCTCGAGGTCCACCATCCGAAGGCAAGCGAAGGACATAGTGCTAATCACGTTCGAGAACTTGCGCTGTGGAGGCCTTCGTGCGGATGTGTCGGGGTTGTCGCTGCCGTCGAAGGTAACAGTCATCGTGAACCCATCATCCGACTCTTCTATCGCCGTCACACGGTGGTAGAGTAGCGGCTGGTTCTCGCGAGGGAGCTGGGCGGTCATCGCTCTGTGGACGATCTCCGAGCCGCCGCTAGAGAAGAATAATGCGGAGTCAGTGCCCGCACATAGTACAGAAACGATATGCGTCGCACTCAAGACAGAACCACTCGATATCCTTGCCCTTGAAGTTTGGATCGTTGAAGACCAGGGACGCGAGAACAGTCTCGGCGAGTGACTCGTCCATCAACCCAGTGCGGGACTCAACGCTCTCGAACCAGTTGACCACATCGCTCGGGTACTTGAGTATCTGCGTCAGATAAGTCCGCACGGAGTAGTTATCCCACTTCAACAGCTCCTGGTAAGCCTCTTCGAAAGGGTGCTTGACAAACAGCTGGCGCAGTTCGTCGAGGGCCACGTCCCACATCTGTTCGCTGCCCTTGGCGATAAACGTGTCTGGGACGTTTCCGCCCTTGGACACGGAAACCTTGAAGACGTCCGGGTCGGACTTTCTCTGGGTCTGGTCCTCAGCTCTGGTGACAGTGATGTTGTTGTAGCTTAGGAAAGTGTTTTCGTTCCTGCGGAGGTAGGGAATGAAAGCGTTCGGCATGTTGAGACGGTTTCTGACAAGATCAAAGGTGCGCTTCATGAACGTAGTGTTGGGGTATCGCATCGCGCCGACGTCTAGACGTAGCAGGGGGAGATCAGAAATGCCAAGACCGGGTCCAGGGAATCTCCCACCATAATACTGGTATTTGCCTTGGTTTTTAGGGAATTTGTGGGTGTACAGCCGTCCGCCGACTCTGCTAGATCCCTCAAAGATTTCGAACTTGATACCCAAGCTCTTGAGCATCATACCAATGTATAATCCAGAGACGCCTGCACCAATGACAGCGACAGGAAGGTTGGCAACGCGAGGCGGCGGAACGGAGGGGGGTGGAGGCTGAGGATAGTCTTCGCCAGGACGTACGTAACGCTCAATAAAGTCTCTCATAGCCTGCTGTCCCTGGACAGTCAACGCCGCCGTGCCGGTGTCAACGACCTCCTGGGTAGACATTGTGTGAATTGTGAGTACGAGATCATTGTACTGGGGGCCGCTGGTATGCCGTTGCGTACCATCCTCGACGAAAACCTAGAGGTGTAATTAGGCATCTTCTCTGACGCGCGAGACGTCGTACGCACGAGGATCATCATGTAATCTGGCATCTCTCTCGGTGCATCCAGAGGCTTGTTAACCTGCAGAGTAGCAATCTCAGTCAACATTACGACTCGAATAAGCCGTACACATACAGGGACTGTGCGGATGCGTGCGCTCCTTGTACGATTTTGCATATCCTTCGACACGGAATGATAGAAGGAGAACGTGAGCGTTTTGTCGTCTGTTTGGGGCGCAAACGTGAACTGATGACTCCCAGAGTGGAGATCGGTCATAGTGTCGTTGACTGTGCCCCACTTGCTGGCGAGGCGTCTAGTCTCTGGCAGTCCTCCGAACATGGTGTACTCGATAGTGACCAGTTGGCTGTACGTTCGCCTGCTGATCTGAAATATCATCGGCTCACCATCAGCGGTACACACAGAGAGGATTGCGTGATACATACTGCTACCACATTGGCAAACCATTCTGCGGGCAGCTCGAGCTGGAATCCGCTACCGTCCACAGTATGATGTATCGTCGGCCGTGCAATGGACATAGTGATATGTGGAGCTGTGCGCAGAGGAATCGATTTATTATCTCCACATTGAGAGGGTTGCGATGGTATTTGACTGCCTCAGGAATGGACTATCGCGGGTTGTCACGAGCCTCGTATCTCCAGGATCTTCAAAACGCATTCATGGGAATGACGGTCGACACAAAATAGAAGCCACAAAGCGGTGGTAATTCTCTGTTACTGTCACGGTGCCCTTCACGTGCGTGTAGCACCGTAGAGAGAGTGCTCTGGATAACGAGCTTGACTCTGCCGCCGTGCGTCGTGTGTCCCTGTGATCGGCAGGCTCGATAGAATGCACTTGAGAACAAATCCATTTCCGCTCTCGAAGGGGTGAAGCACAGTCAGCAGACTCGATCCACGCGTGGCCAAACGAGCAAACGTTCATACCTGCATTAGGCGTAGCGTCGCATGTCCTGAAGTAGACCGCGGACGATACAGACGATGTCGATGGGCGTCATACACCAGTTCTTCGTGCCAACACCAAGCTAGAATTTCGGATATGAGATCAGGCATCGATGCGGCCAGCAGATACGACGACTAGGTTTGAGGGATGCCTGCAGGATCAGGTTCACCCCAGGGTCCTAGCTCGAAGCGCCAACGCCACAATTCGAACATCCCGCACCCGAGGACCTCTGACACCTTCTCATCGCTCATTCCACAATATACCATACCAGAGGTCCAATCCAAAAGTCGCTAGTTCAGCGACACAAGCCACGGGATACGATGCAAGTCTTGCACAGAAACGCGGGCAGCAAGCCAGGGATCTGCGCAATACTTGCTTGCTGTTTATTCGGGGACCCTTTCGAACGAGTAGTACGCAAATCAAATCGTTCGCACTCTGTACATGACACGTATCGATCTGCATAACACGCACAAAGGACGCCCTGCGTATCTGTAGACGCATATATACATAAACTCTCCAGTCTTCTTCAAAACCAGCGACTCTGTGGTCGCCTGCTCAGCTGTCCTATAGCCCTCCGATATCCACATGTCGTAAGATTCCGCATTTATTCTCCTCTAATCATCAACCAACTTGTGTCTGCCATCTAGTTGGCCTCCCCCTAAGTTTGGTTTTGGACCTCCTGGTTCACCACCCTTTGGGCCACCGCCGCCTGGGTCGCCGCCTGGACCGCCGCCATTCGGTGCACCGCCTTTTGGCGTACCACCGTTTGGTTCACCGCCCTTCGGATCTCCGCCTTTCATGCCTGAGCCTGCTATGCCATTCATGAGATCGCCGTTTCCAGGGTCTCCAGCGATGTCTCCGGGGCATGCGGAGATGAGTTTTGGCATTAGTTTCGGTGGCCGAGGCGGCGGCTCTGCTCGTGCTTCGCCCGCCCCTCGCGACGACTTTCCTCATCAGGGGCGTCCGACCGTCAACGGCGGCCCCCGAGACCGCCCTGTGTTGTCGCCCCAAACTCCGACTGGCAGGCCGGGGACTCCAACCACCGACCAGAGGCGGAGACCTGAGACACCCGTCTCTCGACCCAACGGGGCCGACACTGGTGGGCAGCAGAACGCAGCGCCGCCCGCCGGAGCCCCCTTGAGCAAGCTTCCTCAAGGACAAGGTGTGCGATGCATATCATACATCGTAGTGCATCGTCACTGATATTGTTTCAGTCGGGCCACAGCGCGGCGGTTCTCAGGTCTTCACTATCTCCCCAGGTTGGACTGCCAGCGTCAGCAGCGTAAGCCGACTTTGACATCACTGTTCAATACTATTCACCATCAATGGCTGGATTGGATAGGTGGCCAGGCAGCCATACAACCAAGGGACCTGTGTTGGATACAAATACGCAGAATACGAAGAGCGCCACATGCTTTCGAACGAACGGAGCAGACAGTCGGGCAAGAAAATGCTCAATCTCCAGAACCGCGAACCACAGATATTTATGCGGGAGCAGAAGGAGACGGTCACGCTCACCATCAGATTTCACCATGCCAGAGACATGACCACGAAAGGGGAAGCGCTTCTCGCCACGACGGTAGACAGGACCGATACGGTTAAGGTGATACTCTATCAGATTTCAACAGGTAAAAGGGCTCATTCATTCGTTTCAAGCTACCCTCAGATAAGGATGATGTGGTTAAATATCTTGTATGCGCGGCTCGTGTTTGCTGCCGAGTTGCTAATATTGACATCCGCGCTAGATCAAGGTTTTTGATCAAGCTGGGAGCACTAGGCCTGACCAGTGGGTTCTTCCTTTGTCTGAATAACAGTCTGCTCACATTTGTCAGGGAAACGACGGTTGAATTTGTCCGGAAGGTCGATCTCGATCCTCTGGGACTCGGCAACATTCAGGGAGATGTGATGTGCGTGCCGTGCCGTCCACACCAGCCCCAGCTATTCGCGGCTTACTTGGCGTTGTCTCAGACCTGGACTTCCCAAGGCTCTGGAATTTTTCTACTACTTCCAGATCACCAATGTTGACGGATTCCGCACGGCGTTCAAGGATTTTGTCTTGCCTAAGATTGTCACATCCGCAAGCCTTGTACAGAACCCACCGCCTTCTCCACGGGATAACCGAGACCACCCTTTCCGCGGTCTTGCTATCGGTTTCTCAAGCTTAGGTATCAGAAAGTTCCGCCTCAACCCTACCGAGCTCGGAGACCGCGCGTTCGCACGGGGGCAGATGGCGGACTCGCAGGCGCTCGGGGACGCGGGTGCCGAGCGGGAGGGGTTCTGGTCGCCGAACTGGGACTCGGAATACAAGGCGAACATCGACGGTATCTTCCTCATCACAGCGTACAACGAGAGTAACGCGCGCAAGTTCATCGACGAGCTCGAGGAGGCCTTCCGCTGGGCGCCGAACCGGTCGTCTTTGCGCAAGATCGTCGCGCTCTATGGGCATCCGCGCCCCGAACCTGAGGCTATAAATGATCCGTTCGGTTGGCGCGGGGGCGGCTTCACGAATCCACAGGTCGAGGGCGTCACGTTCAGCGAGGAGAAACCGATGGCGTACACCGGCACGCCCGTGATCCCGCTCGGGGTACTCGTCATGGGGCGCGAAGGCGACGAGGACAAGGACAGGCGCCCCGAATGGGCCAAGGATGGTAGTTTGATTGCGACGCGGAAGCTCAACTGTCTCGTCCCCGAGCTCGAAAGTTATCTGCTCGAGGAGGGTCAGAAGATCTTCCCGAACCTGAGCAGTGCCGACGCAGCCGCCAAACTCGGCGCAAGGCTCATGGGCCGATGGAAGAACGGTGTGCAACAGCCTTTGTATCTGTCTACTGCTCGCTCGTATTGACGACGTTCCCCAGGGACACCTGTCGTACTGTCTCCGGACAACGACGCGCCCGAGATCGCGGGGGACCCTGCGCGGGTGAACAACTTCGAGTTCGACAAGACCGATACGAATCAGAAACGGTGTCCGTTCGCAGCGCACATGCGCAAGTCGAACCCGCGCAACGATATCGACCCTAACGAGCTGAAGAAGCATCTGTGAGTGGCCGCTGGCTTGATTGGCGATTTGTCTTCTGACATGCCGTGTCATCGTAGCATCCGGAGGCATAACATGCCATACGGGCCCGAGGTCAGCGACGAGGAGCGCGAAAACGGTACGAGCGAAGACCGGGGTCTGCACCTCTGCGCGTACCAGAGCAGCATCGAACGGGGCTTCCGCTACATCCAATGCGGTAGGCACTCCTCTGCGCGTTGCTGCACACACACTGACCCAGAGCCCACGCGTAGAGTGGTACAATAATGTTAACTTCCCTCCCGGGAAGCCAACGACGCCCGGCTGGGACCCAATTTTCGGGCAGACGGGGCAAGAGGACGAGGGCGTCTACCGACAGATGAGCGGCGTCAATCCTGCGCAGCCTAAGCAAGTGACGAGCTTCATGGAGAAGTTTGTCGATCCGCGGGGAGGGGAGTACTTCTTTGTGCCATCCATGGCCACCTTGCGACAGCACATTGCGGCAGCGGATCCGGTTTTTACAGCGATCTCTTGTCAAGTGGCGGCCCAAGGCTAAGGTTTGTATCTTTCGCTCAACCGCAGATGAGGTTATGATATATGAACATATTACACGCTGTCAGTTGAGTCTTCTGTAAAAAATAAAAATAAAAATGTCTTCAATTACGATACGACAGCAATGAACCCAAGGTAAGAAGATCTAGAAAAGACAGCTGGTGGATGCACTGCGTGTTATCAATATTCTCGGACGCACTTTGAGGACCGCCGGTACCCTCTGACTAGCTGAACTCCTATACCAGTGATATTGGCTTGCCAATCGTCCTAGCGTCGGCCTGCGCTGGCTTGAAACTGAATGATACGGGCACTATCCGGTCACGCGGGACGTGATGTATCTAGTTACACCACAACTCGTCGACAGCCCTTCGATACAGCCAGATATGGACTTGCCAGCAGTCTCGGGATCGTAATATATACACAATATTCCCCGCTCAACGTTCCTGTGCAAGTGACAAACGTCGATCTCTCTCTAAAACTTGCCTTCCATAGTGTACAAATTGTCATTTCGGTTCTATGCAAGTGGGCTCGTATTTTTACACTGTTTCCGATGGTTTAAAACATGCACAAGTTGCATTTAGTGAGGGCAATAACACGTCAAATTAACCGGACACATGAGAACAGGGGCCAAGTGTGTCTACGGTATCGAGCACACAGGTCATGGTTGCAGTATGGGCTACAGAGTTTCCGAAGACCCACTTAGAATCTTGTCCATATCTTCTCTGGTAAGTACAGGCCAATTCACTTTCTCGAGTGCGGCCTCAAGGGCTACCACAGCTTCTTCGGAGACAGGACGGTAGCCCTCTTCCTCTGTAACACGGAGAAAGCTACGAAGATCATGTAACTCGTAGTTTAGCTTGGGTTGAGAAGTCGGCGCCGGCGCACTGTGCTCTGCGAACTCTGACTCTTCATCGTTGTCTTCCATGTCGCCTGCTGGGAATGTGGATGGCTGTGAGGTATCTGGCTCTGAGCCGACTGCACCAATTGTTGCCTCAGTAGTGCCATCCTCCACCTCAGCTTCGGCAGCGGAGTGCGTGTCGGGTCCCAAGCACCGCAGGAACGCCCACCCAGAGATCACGCGGAATAACCAGCCGGGGAGCTTGATAAACAACATCCAGCCGGACGCGGTGCCGCAGAGCATACTAAGATCGAGAGGCTGTGGCACCACAATCGTGCGTTCGGCCCAGGGCTTCCCCGACTCTCGCGGCAGCGCCGCAAACGCGACCTCGCACGCACGCCCGGCAGACATCGGCAGCCCCCTGGGTTCCATAGAGGCCGCTGCACTTGCGAGGTCCGTGAAGCCCTGCACAATGAGCGGCGGGTGCACGAAGGGCAGCGAGACGCCCTGCATGTACGGGTCAAAGTCCGACGAGTTCACGATTCCTACAGACATCGCAACGGGCGGATGTGAGGGGTTATCTAAGCGGCGCGTGACTACGCCCACATGCGTATCCAGGTCCGCAAAGGTGACTTGCAGGAAGAGGGGATGCATGATAGCGTCGAGATTGCGGAAGAGGTGCGGCTCCTTCCGTGCAAGACCGGCCAGATCTGCATCCGACACCGAGGGGCAGTTCATGAGTATCAGACGCTGAAGGGACGGGAGCTGAACGAGGAGCTGACGGATTCCTTGGGTAGTGACCGAGTCATTGCGAGATAGATTAAGGGAACGAATGTTGGTCGTGTTGCTGGCTATGGTATGTAGTTGGCCGTCTGAGATCGCATATCCAGAGAGGTCGAGGGAACGGACACTGGTCAAGTCGGACGCGAGACTGACGACCTGGTCAGGAATCAGGGGATATTGAGAAAAATCGAGAGCATGTGTGCGCGCTGTGATGTCTCTCAGGAGCATCGACAGGACTGGCAGAGCAGTATCCTGCATGGGATTATGCTCGAGTACACACTCCTCGACAATGTGCATCTTCTCCGAGAGCCAGACCAGGCCGTCAAGAGCAGAGGCGTCTACGAGTTCGATACATTGCTGAATGGTCTTGCGGAGTGACATATCTACGAGAGAAGCGACTTCTGTTCTAGTCTCGGCGAGGGGTTTAATCTTCGGCGGTTTAGAGGCAGTAGGCGGCGAGCGTTGGAATACGGTATACTCGTCGGGCCACGCTTCTGCTAAGGCCGACTGAGGCATGAGCTGCTCCCCCTTCATGTCGGCTACGGCAGATAGCATGCTTTTCTTGAACTGTCGTTCCCCCTTCCTGATTTGCTCCAATATGGCAGGATCTCCTCGAGCTTGTTGCAGCAGTCGTCGCTCATGTCTTTCGGACCTGTCTTCCACGGGCTCTCCATGCTCATCCTGCTTGGGAAGAGCGTAGTACCTCAGAAGATATTGTCTGGAGCTTCTGCGGCCCGAGCTTGCGCCGGAAATGTGGCAGTACGTCGGATTGTCGGGGTCTGTGACATCAACAGCTGTGATACCGTCGTCGTTTGCTACATAACATAATAATGAGCATGAGCAAAATCCAAAGGAAAGATAACCTTCAATCCACATACGACCATCCCAGCAGCCCATGTTTGCACTTGAGAGGTGGCCGCGGAAAGACTGGCCGCTCAAATATGCCTTATCTGTGGTTAGGTCGATGTCCCAGCTGTTGGCGAGAATCAAGGCGACAAAAGGACATGGTATGTCCGGAATGAAAGGCTCCTGCCCAGGTCGTCCGTACTTGCTGGCTATACTGCGGACCTCTTCGCGAATTATTTCAGCGTTTTCGGGCTGCCTGACAAGAATTAAGAGGCGGCGTGTGGCGCGGAGAGGTAAGGTGCCGTAGCACCACTGGTGGTGGTATGCCGCAATACAGCGGTACTTGGCTTCGGCAGAGCCATGCGATTGTACCTTTGCGATGACGAAGGCTTGATGTCTTTGACCCATGGCTGAGCTCGAGTCTATTTGGCGACTACGAGAGCGACCTCGCCTCAGTCACAAAGGGGTGGAGTCCCATTTGATACGATGGATGCGTACGTCTGTAGCTAAAGCGAACTGTCAGGATGCACAGGCGTATGGAAATGTATATGAGGTAGCGAAGCAGATATCTATTGTTCTTCTTGGGCTGCGAACTTTGCCTTCGAAAGCGCCTTCATTCTACGGACATAGCTAAGGAGTATGAAGTGGTAAGCTGTTGTACAAACGAAGAGGACGCGGAACTCACTCGTCATACTGGCACCTATCACGCCCAAGAGACTCATTAGCTGGTTTCACAGAGAGTGTGCAACGCATACGCACTTTTCATAGGCGTGCTTCTGATCCTCACACTCCCATGGCAGGTAGGACTTCTCCCTCCGGCAGACGTTCAAAGGGATCAGCAACCTGCAGCGTTCGCGAACCCGCTTCAGCTTTGCTTTTTACTACAATTTTAATGGGTACGCACGCAGAACAGCGGTCCCGCCAGCCAAGAGGGACCTTGGCGTCCTTGAGTTCTTCTTGGGAAGCTGTTGTAGACGACGCCATGGGTGAGGTGTGTCTGCAACGCTTGCCCGCGCGCCCCGGTACAGAACGTGTGACAGTGACGGCTCGTCACACATGAGGCTCTCTTTTTTTTTTTCCGCTTGTTTATAAAGGCCCGTAGAACTACTGCTACATGAGGGCCTGTGCTACAGCCACAACAGGGTCCGTGCCGGTTCACCTGGTTGACCTAAGGTCTGGGGGCGCAGAGGAATTCGCAGGACCGCGCCAGACGGCCCTGGCCTCGCACGAGCACCGAGCCGGTCGATGGACTCTACCCTACCAAACATTAGACCTACCTCTAATGGTTCCCCTCACCCACGCCCTACATAACCGAAACACAAATTATCATCATGGTGACCCCCATTAAGTATGGTCACCGGTTGTCGGACGGTTATGCTCCAGCCGCCCTATGACGATTTGCCCAACTTATCTGTGCTCTTCGTCAACCTGATTGCCCCATTCATCCTTGTCTGCGGGCGGATCTCCAGCGTCGGAAAACGCCTCGAGAGTTTGTCCTACAGGTTTATACGTGCCCCTGTATCCAAACTCTCGCGCCAATGCCTCTTCCTCAACCACTGGGAGGCTCTCATTGTGGTTGAAAAGTATTCGGTATTGAGATACCGCGTACTTTGCATACCACTGTGTGAATTTACGTTCAGCTTGGTCCGGGTTGGGGTACGATTGTTGCCACTTTCCCTGATCCATTGGTATGTCCCCTGGTTTTAGGAGGCGGTTGTGATGTCGAACTGCGCTGGAGTATGTGGCTCTACAACGCTGTTCCAAGTCTTTAGTGTAATCATTTCTTTTCTCCTTGCGTCTCTTCGAGTGCATTAGAGCTTTCCATATGTGGACCGAGGTGGTATAGTCACGTCCATTGTTGGCGTCATTAAACGCTTTGTCAACGAGATCGGACCATTCGAAGGTATCCGCCATGGGGTTAGCTCGCACGAAGTGGTAGATATCTTCCCACTTGGTGCCCAGTATTTTCTTTCTGTAGTTAAGGTCTTGGCTGTATTCAGTCAATTCGTCGACTTTAGTCAAGTCATTTTGCATCTCCCAGTACGCGCGATGCATTTCGCGTACTTCGGTATCAGTTTTGAGACGGTGTCCTATCTTGGTCTTGTCATACAACGGGTGACCCGCTATGTGCATTGTTTTAAAGTCGTATAGACGACTCCATCCCGGGCACATGTATATCATGTGGTCCCTTGTTTCCGTCGTTGTTTGACCCAGTTTATGGTGGCAATACCAGCATGTGGTGGGTCCTTCTAGGTTAAATCGTTGTCGGAACGCTCCAATCGGTGCGTGTCCAGACATTAACCTCGTGAGTCTGCCCATCTCTCGGTTCTTCCCCCGCTGTGGGCTATGAACCAGTTTGAGGACGTGTGTTTGATTTGTCGTAGATGATCGTGATGATCTCCAGCTATCAATTGGTGTCCTCTATATTTAGGGGACTCTTTGATTTTCTGCTGCCATACGCGAACTTCATTCTCAGTAATCTTTTGCTTGATGTAGGCATAAGATTTAATCGCGGGTTGCGTGAGTTCAGTCCCCTCTTTAGCTAGGGTATCAATTCGTTCATTCAAGGGCACATTAACATGGCTTGGGCACCATGACATGTGTATGGTTCGTTCCGGGTCTGCTTCCAACCAGCGTCGTATGCGTTCGCTAGCTAGCAAGGAGCATTTTTGTGAGGGGCCAATCCGCGGGTTAAAGATGCGCTGCAGCGCTCCTTTATTGTCCGCAAATAGGTATAACAATTTGTGTTTTCCTGGCGCATTGCACGCCGTGTTAATGCCCATCCACAGGGCCTGCATTTCTGCATCGAATGGTGTGACTTGGCCACACCCTACTTTCTTTTCTATGGTTTTTTGTTCGCCCCTTTCTAGGGTGTACGTGACTGAGCATGCAGCACCAGTAATGACCTTTTCAGGTTCATTTTCCTCGTGTGTTTTACGTTGTGAGCCGTCAGTGAACACTGCCCGGCTTCCGTAATCGGAAGAGGCTAATTTTATGATTGGATTAAGGAACGTCCTTATCCAGTCATGGAGTTCTTCCTTCTGGGCCTTCAGTGGGCCCTCAAGGCTCATGGTGATGCGGTCTGCATATAAGTCTAATATGCGGTTTCCCGGTTGTGCTTCGGTGCTAATGGAGTTAAATTCCTCCGTGAAGCCCTCCGTAACTTTGTACGCCGTTACTATGGGGGTTTCGGCATCTCTAGTTTTCGTTCCGCGGTATGGGAGCGGTGCCTTAATATTAAGTGTCCCACTTTCCATCAGGTTTGGCATGTGGGCCCTTATAGGGTGATTTTCGTGTAACATGTGTGTGCGCAATGCCGCACGTTTCATGAGTTTGTTGATGTTTTGTCGGACAGGGATTAGTCCTGCAGACATTTCAAGAAAGCCCACGGGGGTTGTTTTGAACGCCCCCGTGATCCAACAGGCTGCTCGGCTCTGGGCCTTGGATAGCTCTTTCTCGATCCAATGTATACCCTTCCAGGAGGGGTTCCACCATAGTTGTGCCCCGTAGGAGAGCAGGGGTACTACATTGGATATATAAATCCGCCTTTTATCTCTAGGTTTAAGCCCTCTAGACGAGTTGCCTAACATTTGGATTGCGGCAACAGTGCTGCAAGCCTTGTTTGTGTAGACCTTAATATGGTCCCTGAACGTAAGCTTGGGGTCAAGCCAGAAGCCTAGATACCTCATTACAGGTTTGGGGGTAATGACAAAGGACGAATTTTCGTCATAAATTCGTAGTTTGGGACCAAGTGGTTGTTCGTCACTCCACGTCCACCCTTTGGCTTTCCGCCGGCGTATGAAGTGCATTAATTCAAGTTTATCAGTTTCTGCTGATAACCCCAGTCTATGCAGGGTATGTATAAGCTTGGAATATATGTCCTGGATCAGGACGTTATTGTACAGCAGCTGTTCGTGGTCTGGGTCTTCCGACCCGTTGCCCAGCTTGCCTCCGACGTGAATGAGACCGTCGTCGACGAAGAACTGCACGGTGGCATGTCCGTTGGCCTGTATGTTTTTGTCAGTCCACTGTGTGCGAACCGTGACTCGGTGGTCCCCTAAAGTAAGGGTAATCGCCTTTTTCAGAGGGGCGATTTTGTGCATGGCCGGGGCTAGGTATAGGCCCGTAAGGATAGGAGAAAGGCTCGATCCTTGTCTGACTCCTAAGGAGAAGTCCATAGGGTCAAGGGTTTCCCCATTAAACATGAATTGTGTCTGTCTGTCTGACAGGTAGCTGACAAAATATTTACACAAATTTCCTGCAAATCCTTGTTTGGACAAGATTCTCGTCAGGAGATTGTGATTAACCGATGGGAAGAATTGGGCGACGTCGAGCAGAACCGCCGATGAGTCAATTCCTTTTTTCCACAATTGTTTCACGTTGTGAACAAGTTGTATTCCTGCATCCGTGGTACTATGTTGCATAGTACCACCGAATTGGCATGGGTGCATTGCACTATACTTTTGTGCTTCAAATTGCATTCGTCGGGATATTATTTTTTCCATCAATTTGCCTAGGCAATTGAGGAGGACGATGGGCCGGTAGGCCTTTGCCTTGGTGTAATCAGGTCTCTTTGGCTTCGCTATGATAACCGTTTTCGAGACCTTGAATACCCGTGGTTGTATACCTAGCTTAACGCATGCATCGTAAAATACGAGTATGGGAAGCTCGCAGTCTTTCTTGTCGGACTCATCATCACTGCGATAATCGGGGGATGATTCGTCTTTAAGTATTCGTTTAAGCCAGAACCACAAGACGTTGTCTGGGCCCGGTGCAGAGAAGTTGCTAGTGCCCTTGAGGGCTTCTCGCATTTCAGTGCGACTCATGGGTGGGAAAGCTCTTTCCTCGAGCTGCTCCATCTCATCAGCGATGGTCATGTCGACAGGTCGACCATTGGTCGGAGTAAATCGTTGTTGGAATATTTCCCCGACCCCTTTCGAGTCGGTGACAATATCCCCTTGGCTATTCGTGAGGGCGACGTTGGCCACTTGTTTTCGTGGCTTCGTCCATTCAACATTATTCCATATCCTTGAAGGGTGTGTGTGTTTCAACACCCCTTCAAAGAAATCACGTTTAGCCCGTTTCGCCACCGCTCGGAGGCGGTTGGACGCATTCTTTATTTTCTGGGCTTCCTCCACAAGGTGGATAGAAGTCAGATTGTTTTTATTCTCGATACTAGTTAGTATCTCATCATCATTCTCAGATATTCCAAGACGACGAATCATAATGTGTCTCGCCCGGATTAGCTTGTTTCGCCTCTGGATGTCTTTCTTAATAGATTTGACCGAAGCACGTATATTATGTAACTCCTTGGCCCTTTTGTTGCACTCAGCATTCCACCACGACTTTGCATGATGTGAAGGCTTGACTTTCTCAATGTTAGCCGACCAGGCTGTGTCAAATGCGTATTGGATCCAATTTCCCCACCGTTCGATGTCCTCTTCAGAGGTATAATCATCGATGTGGGTGGGCATCGCTGCGAGACGTCCCTGACAGGCTTTAATGAATTTCTGGCCATTTTCTGACCCTCTCTTAACCGTGTACGTAATTTTATCGACTGTTTCCAGGTCGATTCGAACGAATACTGGGCAATGATCACTATTAACTTGTTGATCATGTCGGTGTTCAATGTCTATGACATTGATATCTTCGTTGGTCCAGACTAGGTCTAGGGTTCCATCGCTTTGATCTTCTCTGTTTGACGACCAAGTACAAGCTTGTTCAGGTGATGTGCCCAAGGACAGGTTCATGTCCAGTGTGCACATTGTGATGAGGTCTTCCGCTTGGCGGTTGGCCCTAGTTCCAATGGGAACGGTGGCGTCCCACATGTGATGACGTAAGTTAAAGTCGCCTGCCATGAGGTGTATTTCTGGCATGTTGCTGGCTTTATTTTCTAGGTAGTGCTGAGCACTGTGTGTCTTAGAATCATTGTACACGTTAAGGATACGTATGATTTGTTTATTGGGCATGGTTAGCTCCAGGCATTGGGCATCGTCATGATTTACGATGCCCGTGTTAAGTCTCGGTGCGAGGTGCGCCCACCTTCTATTGACGATGGTGCACACGCGCCCTTTCTCAGATGCTCCGAGGAACATATACTGTCTGTGAGTTATTCCCTGGTGGTATTCATCTCCGTTTTTCGACGTGGTAGACATCACTTTTTTAATATAACCCCAGAAGGGTTCTTGTACTAGCACGACATCTGCCGTTTGGTAATTTCGTTCTAAGAAGATTTGAAGGTTGTCCTTCGATTTCTGAACGTTAAAGGAGACCACGGTGAACGGTCTGTTATTATCATCCCGGGGTATAGAGGTTTGAGCGTTATTGGGTTGTTTAACCCTGGCTTCCGCCTCCGCCCTTTCCAGGTTTATGTCAAGGGGGGCGGTAAATCATTCATATCTTCATCTTCATCAGAGGGGGAGTCCTCGACGTCATCCGTGTCCCAGTCTTCCTGGTACATGTTTTCAAGGTAGTTCACTTCGTGATTTATTCCTTGGTTTGTCTGATCATTTTCGTCGCATGAAAGATCGAATTGGAATTCGATCTCCGGCGACATAAAGTTATCTTTTTGGTCACAAGGGCGGTCTTTCGGTACCGCATCCACGTCCATGTCATTTGTTGTACTACTCATAGGCAACGGTACGAGGTAGTGGGTTAATATTACATGAGTGCATCATGTGGGGGGACGGTTGGACTCTGGACTCAAGTGGCTGTTTGAGTTCATTGCGTCCTTTCATCCTCTCAAGTATCATGGTATGTATTAAACTGTTTAGCCTAGTGCTAGGTAACAATTTTAATGTATCTAGGTGGTCTACACCTGTGATCACGTGATGAGAGCCTGGACCGAGCCCTGACAAGTCAGGTGGTGACCACGTCTCGAGCATGCCGTGTGTGAGGCGGCGTTTGTGTTTCTGGTTTCCCAGGATAAAGTGAGGCGCCTTCCCGAGCGTTAACTCGTTGGGGGTCTCAAGCAGCAAGGCTGCCTGTGGGATTTCTCCCTGCGTCCCCTTTCCCCCGAAGGGTCCAGGTTCGGCCAAATGACTCTGCAGCCACGTTCCGCTGGGCAGAGACGACAGCATCGACCTCTTGCATGGGTCTAGCTGTTGTTGATGTGTTGGCGATGGGGGTGACTCGACGCCGTGGCTAGACGCTTCACGGTCGACCCCCAGCCCGAGGTCTTCCGGAAGCGTCGTCGGGCCCATTACCGCTCTTCAGGCGGTAGCGGACCCAGCACCTAAACAGATAAAATAAGTTCGAAGGGGATAGGGAAGTGAGAACGTAACAATGGGCGACGGAATTGGGGAGCGAGACTCAAACGACGTGGGCGTCTAAGGTAGATGGTGGTGGTTGAAGGTCAAGGTGCGTCGCACATGAGGCTCTCATTCCATACGGTTGTGCGAAGTAGGCAGTCTGTTTGCTATTGTCGTTCAAGTTTAATGAGCTAACCGTGAGAGCCTCGCATGATGCTACTCAAATGCTTCGCAACAATGATTGGTCCGAGTGGTGGTGTATTTCCTGTCGAGGCGACTACCACAGTGCACTACTATTTACGCAGTCTTCCCTGTTCGTCCGTGCCAGACGCCGATCTCCTTCTGCACGCGGGCTACAACCTCCTCGACGGTGGTAGCCTTACCGAACGCATCCACAAACCGCCCGTTAGGGTCCATAAAGTAGAAGAAAATCGAGTGGTCAACAAGGTAGTCATCCGTCGGCTTCGCATCCGGTGGTGTGGAGAAGTATACGCGGTACGCCTTGCATGTCTTCTTCACAGTGTCATAGTCGCCTGTGAGGCCCACAAGCCGCGAGTGGAATTCTGAGGCGTAGCGTTTCACTTGAGCGACCGAGTCCCGTGCCGGGTCGACGGAAATGAAGATGGGCTGGACGACAGGCCCGTACTCCTTGTCTGGTAGCGTGGTCAAGATGCATGTAATATATGTAGAAGACAACGGCGCACCGAGGGTGTCCACTGCCGCGCTCATCTTGTCGAGCTCCTCCGGGCAGATATCTGGACAGTTAGTGAAGCCGAAGTAGATGAGACTCCACTTCCCGAGGAGGTCCTTCTCCGTGAACGTCTTCCCGTCCTGTGTAGTTAGAGTAAATGGTCCGCCGACATTCGGTCTTCCGACCTGCTTGTCCTCAAGCTCCTTTTCTGCCAGTTGTGTGCATGTTGATACAGTTATCCGCAAAAGATGAACGGGTGGGAACGTACGTCTCCGCTCAATGAGTTTCTGCTTCTCATACCGGAAATAGAAGAACAGTCCGACTCCTGTTGCTACAAATAGAGCAGCAGCTTTTGGTGTGAAGACCTATAAGACATAAATCTGAGCTGCGCAAACATCTTTGCCGGCCATAGACAGCTTACCCCAACGGCAGCCTTGTCCCGCCCACTCGCGTCAGGCAAAGGCTGGTTCCTCGCCGGCGCAGACGAAGAAAACCCTCGAGATGCATGCCTAGGTACTACGCTGGTCTGTGCAAGCCGTGCAATTGGAGTGTTCGAGCGCCGTGTAGCCTTACAGCGGGCTGCTAGTCGAGGAGCAAAGGCAAGCATGACGATCCGGAACTGAGTGTGATTTACGATCAGGCGCGCGTGCGGTCGACGCGACTGGAGTCGACCGCTGGACGCGATGCATGCCGCTTTAGTTTATAACTACCACCCAACCACTGCCGCTCAGGTTATCCGTCTCGTAAGAATTCGGAGCGAACGAAACGGCTCTGCCAGGCTGATGTAGTAATCACCTTTACTGACTGGACCGGGGTTGCCCAGCTCTATCAGTCTGAACACAGCTCGGTGCTAGAGCACCTTCCACTCAGCTTCGAGAAAAATGAGTGGCAAACTACCTCGAGACTGCCGATGTCGCGTTTTATATCGAAGATGAATGAGCTGTGTGCTGTTGTCATTGCCCGTCTGAAGAAAGCAAGACCATGTATCTATCCAAGCAACGTACGGTAACTAACCCCTCGGACCCGGTGTATAAACTAGTCGCTGTGTTCACGGGGAGACCGTGGCTCGTAACAAGCACTTTCATACGGGATTAGATGTGCAATCCATTCTTTAGTAGAGCAGATCAAGAGTCACTTTCATGCTTGAACGCTTTTCATTGCCACAGAGCTTATGACAATCTCATCTATTACGCCACGCTCTCGTGCAGGGTCGCGGGATTGCTCGCGAACGGCGGGTTCGTTGTTAAGCTTGTGATACTATGAGGAGTATGGAATAACCGCATTTGCGCTTAAACTCGTGAGACTTACCTTCTTTACGGTTGCCCAGTCTGTAATATCAGCCAAGGCGGAGAGGGAAGATACTGTGCCCTTGACGGCGGCTTGCATCTTAAGCAAGACGTCTGGAGTGTCTTTGTCGATCCGCACAACGAACAAGGCTTTGCTGTCGTCCGTGACGCCATAACGTCGGAAAGCCTCGCTGATCTAAAGGGAAGAAGAAGAAAACGAAAACCCTCGATGAGCGGCATCGCCAGCCATGAGCTAGAGTCGCTACGGACATTATTGCTTGGGTTCAATGTCCAGAGTACCTCCGAGTGCACCGTCTTGGTTCTCAAGGAGTCTTGCGTTGCGGCCAAGATGGCATGGTATATGCCGGTCTGCAAGTGCGTTACACTGGTGACCTGCATGACATGTTTCCATCAGCCTCCTCGATGTATTGGAGCCGCGTTGGGACCCACCAAGCGAGCATCGATGAATGCGAAGTTGACCGCTTCGCGCTCGACCTCTCCCTCATCTCCGGACATGACAGACGCGGCCACGAGCCGCTTCTTCAGTTCAGTTGCATTTTGAATATCTGTAAATAGAGCAATGTACACTGACTCAATTTCTGGAGGGAGCTGGGGATACCGATAGGTCTCCATTGCTGATGGACAAGTTAGACTTGCCGAGAGCATGGGCGTCTACTCAATACCGCGGATGAGTGTACAGGCGCTTGTAGGCACAGCACACTTCCTTCCCGACCACTACTTCTCCTTGTTTCTCGTTTTGTTCTCGGGTAATCTGGCTCGGTACTGCCTGAGATGCAGTTGTTTTATGCCATGCTCTCCAAGTTACCCTTCACTCTAGTAGTTGCGTCGCTTGCACTCGCAGTCTCAGCGGTACCTGTAGAGTCGGTTGAGCTCAAGGTTCTCAACCCTTCTAACTTCCAAGAGACCATCCAGGATGGCGTATGGTGTGCAAAAATGCGTGTTCGCGTACATACCGCTTGCTAACTAGATAATCTCCAGGTTCATTGAACATTTCTCACCGTATTGTAGCCACTGTCGTCGCTTCGCCCCGACATGGCAGCAACTTGTGGAGGAGAACGAGAAACAAGTTGACCCTGGAATTCATTTAGCGCAGGTAAACTGCGCGGTGGATGGTGGTACGTACATGGCCGAGTGGTAACATCACGACTTCTCACGCGCGCACAGACTTGTGTAGTAAGAACAAGGTCGACGGATATCCTCAGATGAACTTGTACAAAGACGGCAAATTCATTGAAGTTTTCAAGAAAACGAGAGAACTAGAAATTCTCCGTGAATATATCTCGTCACACGCACTTCGAAAGGCTCCTCCTCCGTCCGCTCCAGAAGACCACATCGACATTCCCATCAATCATGAGATGTACAACCCGTCTGGGAAGGTCGTAGCGTTGAATGAGAAGACATTCAGCGATACTCTCTCAAAGGGACATGTCTTTGTCAAGTTCTTCGCTCCATGGCACGTTACTTTGTCGACTCTATGCGTTTAAAGCTCATCCGTGCTAGGTGTGGACACTGCAAGAAGCTCGCGCCAATATGGGCACAGCTTGCACACGAGATGCGCGGCAAGGTGGATGTTGCCGAGGTTGACTGCGAAGCGCACGGCGCCCTATGCCGGTCACAGGGCATTACAGGTTATCCTATGCTGTTCTATTATGGAGCAAACGGAGGCAGCAAGACTGAATATACTGGGGGGCGTAAGCTGGAACAGCTGAAAGCCTTTGCGGAGAAGGTCTCTGGCCCGTGAGTATAGTCTGTTGACATTGGTACCTGCCTATCTACGACTAAGCAATCACTCTCAGGGCTGTCTCAGAGCTTGTCCCGGAGAACCTTGGACAGGAAGCCGCAGCTCACCCCGTGCTCTACCTTCTACTCTACCCATCGTCAGATAGTACATCAGCGGTAGGACGCCGTTTTTGAATGTCTCGACTCTCGCTCATCATGTCGTGATAGAAACGAGTTATTGAAGCGTCGAACGTCCTCTTCGGCTCACCACCGGTCTTCGTGTCTTCTGCTCCGTCTCTATACGAACACTTCAATCTTGACCCATCTAAACCAGCTATCCTTGCTCTCAAGGACCACGATTCCTCAGTACCCGCCATATGGTCTTACCTGGATTCATTCGACTCAATAGGCGCTTTGGGAAAATGGGTATGTCACGCTTCATGTATATACTACGTTACCAACAGCCTTCCAGCTTGTACGCAACAGACTTCCAACGTTTGTCGAGCTCGACTCGGACTCGTTCCAGGAGGTTATGAACGCGCCACACAAGCCGCTCGTTGTCCTCGTGGCGGCACCGCAGAGTGAGTTGCGTGACACTGCTGAGCAAGTGCGCACTGTAGCGCAGCAATGGAGGGATTCCAAACATCCCGGCGACATTGTCTTTGCCCTAATGGACGCTGACAAGTGGGGGAGCTGGCTCAAAAGTATGTATGGCATCAAGGCCGAGTCCGGCCCCCGTGTCGTTGTCGCGGATCATTCTGTGAGTGCTCTTTTTTGATGGTGACGAAGGTTTGTGCTGACGTGTCGCAGCGTCTGGTGTACTATGATGTTGACCAGCTTGGTCATCCGACTACGCTTGCGTCAACAAGCATATTCTCGGCCGTACAGGGCATACTAGCCGGAACAATATCCTACAAACACTCTGAGAACATCGTCGAACGCTTGGCTAGGGTATGCACTTGCCATACGCTCCGCAAACCCGTCTTGCTCATTTAGCTCGTCTAGTTCCTGAACAACAAGCTCACTAGTGTCGAACACTTCGTCTCTGCACATCCATGGGGTGTCACCTTCTTCGTTCTTACCGGCGTCGTCATCCTTGCATTTTTTATCCGCAAAATTATCAAGGAAGAGTCCGCGCTAGCAGATGACTTATCGCGGAAAGCGCGTCTAGATTAACTACGATGTACATGCTGAGCTGGATTGCTCGGGTCATTGTGGCGATGTACTAATTATGAACCCAATATTACTACACTATTACTCTACATAAAGCGTCGCGTAATTGCTCTTGCGAGGGACCCAACTAGCAACGTAGGAAAGCATCGTAAAGTGATCGTTAAATAAGTCATGTCCAGCAAGGAGGTGAAGCACGGTACGGAAGTGCTCCGGAGCACCACGGGCTGGTTTTAGGGAGTTGAGGGAGCGGACGGCGCCGAGGCCTCTGACTCTGAGCCCCATGGTGATACAGATACGTCGGGCATGATGCCACATATCCTGTTGTAGACAGCTGGCGGGAAGCCTCGCGCTTGCACTCGCTGTAGGAGTGCAACAGCGTGATCACGGTTGCCGTGGCCGAGTTCGGCGCGAACCATGGTTTCCCATGTTGACGGCTAAAGGACACAATTTGTCAGGACGGCTGATGCAACGGGCTTGTACGAATGAGACACACCTCGCGGAAGACCACGCCGGCTGGAACACTCATGACAGGAGACGAGCTCGAAGGCTGATCCTCATGTGGCACGTGATTGTTCGGCGCAGCAACACCCGTCGGTGGGTCTGCGAGAGACTCAAAGAGAGCTCGTGCCTCCTCGATATTGCCCGACGCAGCGTAGCCCTTGATGAGGAAGTTGGCGATGTACGCGGTCATCCGAATGCCGAGCGCGGGCATGCGTGCCTGGTATTTGGTCATAAGGTCGGGGCGCCGAAGAGTCACAAAGACATTCATGAGAGCCTCAAAGACGACCTCATCCGGCAGGCGACTGCGCGCCTTCTCCGTGCTCGGGTGCGCGGAGATGGAGTCGAAAACCTCGACGGCCTTGTCTAAATCCTTCTTCGCGCAACCGTAGGCATTGATAAGCGCTGCCCAATGTGTGCCTTGCACAAGAACGTTCGAATCAGCGACTGCTTTCGCAAAAGCGTTCTCCATGGCCGGAATATCGATGGGCTCGATGGCACCGAAGGCATCAATGAGAAGCTGTAAAAGAGATTAGCCATCCGAGTATCGCTTACACCGAATAGGACAGACCTTGTATGTGTGAGCGGTTGGATTCACTTTCGCTCGTAGCATGGCGTTGAAGTAGTACAGAGCCCGCGCGCGATCCGGCTTGGTTTGGGTGTAGAGCTGCATCATGGTGTTGTATGGAGGGACGCGGGGCTTGAAGTTCTGCTGTGCGATCATCTCCTCGAAAAGCACTTCTGCAGACTGCGCATCGCCGACACGACAGCAGGCCGCGATAAGAGCACCGTAGGTGACGGATGACGGGCGAATGTTCTTCGCTTTCATCTGAGCGAAAAGCTCGAGCGCTTGGTCGGCCTTGCGAGCCCTCGCGAGCTTGGAGATCATATTATTGTAGAGGTAGATGTTTGGCCTGGTGTCGTGTGCAATGGCTTCCTGGAAGAGGCGCCACGCGTTCTCAGTGTCGTCTGTGGTGTTGCTGACGCGCTCGATCAGGGCACCGTAAGCATCCGCGGATGGGCAACCACCCTGCTCGAGAATGCGCAGGCGGTGGACGTGCGCGGCGTCGAGGTCCCCTGCATGTGCAAAGGCGATAACCATCGAATCCTCGATCTGGAACCAACCCACAGACTGCGCCAGCTTGTCAGACTCCATAGCACTGAGGACTAATTGGGCAATCTGGTATAGGCTATGAACCTTCTCGACCTCGCGTTCTCGCCCTAGGCTGTTAATAAGCCGAGCGCAAACTTCGATCCGCGGGTATACGGATATCTGGTGTCCTGCCATAGCTCTCTCGTATGCCGAAACAACAGAGACACCGGATGAGGGAACAGTATATTCCTCCACATACCGACTCTGGTGCGTGTCGATCCTGACGCGGGAAGGGGAAGCAGTTTCGGGATGCTGGACAGGAACCTCATGGGTCAATTCAGGAGTACGCACGCGGACATGCATCTTCTCCAAGATCAAATCTTTGTACGAGGGACCGAGGGCCACAATTCTTGCGAACACAGCGGCATCCTGAAGATCGTAAACCGTGGAGAGCACATTGCCCACATAGTGCCTCAACTCGAAGGGGAGGTTTGTGGCTTCGAAACCCCTATGAGCGAAGTCTTCAACCATGGCAATGAAGTCCAGGGAAGGAAGCGGGCAAGGTTTCATAAGCGCGTCATTGGCGGATGTCCAACCAATGTGTTCTCCGTTCTTGACATTCGCGCTGGCCTCCAAGAGCTCATGCCATTCTTCGGCAGAGAGAGAACCTTGTTCAGCTGGAGTGGAGCGGAGGTAGGCGGCGACGTAAAATGAGGCGATCGGCTGGCGAGCATCCATTCCGATAAGTTTTGAAAGGATAGCCAAGCACATTAAGTACTTGAGTGGAATTTGAGTATCTGGCGTCGGGAGTAGAACGACAGATAGGTTGCTCATGAAACGCCGGGCCCGATGCGCCCGGTCCTGGTTGACGGATGACGGGAGCTCTTGAGCTGCCTCCGAGCGAACGTAGTCATGGTGGATCGACTTGATAGAGCTTTCGACAAGGTCAAGCATACCAGCATAGTCGCCGTGCTTCACGCGAAGTCGTGCGATGGCCAAGCAAGCAGTCAAGAGTTCATCGGCCGTTTCCCAGAACTTCCCAGTGACTTGAGGTCCGTCAATGATGTCGCGAATGTGCTGCTCATAGAGTTGGTCGAGTTCGGTAAGGATAGTTTCCCTTGGAAGATCGGTTTGAGAATCGAGGTAGCGAATATTGGCGTAGACAATCAGAGCACGCTCGAGGGGATGGAAGGTATACAAGTTCTCGCGACATGCGTGATCAACAAGTCGATTCAAGTCTTCGATCCGCTGTACCGAGGCCAGCGCGTTGACCATGGAGGACCAAGCCTGAGCGCTTGGCTTAGTGGGCTGCAAGGATGAGTCGTAGGGGTTGCCGGGGACCTGAGGCTGTTCAAGGAGCCTGTTGAACCAAATGATAGCACTGTCTAAATCGCCGCACTGAATGAAGCCCTTGATAACCCTCGTATAGGTAGCGGGCGAAGGAGCAGGGATGTCACCACACTGGAAGTCCGCGGTCGCATTGGGGCCCACCATCTCTTCCACCAACTCGATAGCGTCAGAGACCTGGCCGTGCGAGAAATACGCATCGATCATCCTGTTCCAAATGGTGAGGTACTGCACCCGCCACTTCGGCTGGCCCAGCGAATCCAGGGCTGCCTCTTCCAAGTGTATGCCATCGGATTGAGACGTTTTCCTGAAGGATGCAAAAACTTCCTTCGCGCCGCTGACATCGCCGTGTTTATCGTAAGTGGAGATGAGGTGCGTGTACAGCGATAGGCCCGGGATGAGTTTCTGCCCCCTCTCGAGATGACCGAACACCCGAAGAGCAGCATCGACATTACCGCGGTAAGCACAAGACCGCAGCAAACCAGCATAAACCGGATACGAGATGTTGTGCCGGGGAATGTGACATGCTGCTTGGAATAGCAACATGGCTGACGAAAGATTGTTCTCTGCCCGAAGTATCGCAATTTTGTGCTCGTGGACGCGACGTGCCTGAGGTGTAAATCTGTCGAGAGCGATGAGAATCCTAGCCCGCTCTTCAAGCTGCACAATCTTCTTCTGGAGTTCTTGGTCGCGATCCGTTAGAGCAATGACGAGGGCATTGTAAGTCTGGACATCGGGGATAACGGAGTGGGAGATCATATGATTATAGAGTTCGAGGATCGTTCGGATGTGTTGACCAGGTTCGCGAATGCGAAGAAGAGCATTGAGTGCCTCATTATACACGTACGTGTCATGAGCATGAGCAGATTCGCGAAGTTTGACGACACTCATGAGCAGCCTCTCAGCGTCTTCAGGAGTTCGAGTCGCCTGGAATGCGCTAATGAGCTCTTCCTGCTCCGCTATACGTTCTGCGGCCTGGAGATCCTCCGTATCGTCTGACTGCTTCGGAAATGCTTCAGCTTCATCCGCGGCTCCGAGAGCGCGAGCGGACGCGGTATCGGCGGTAGCGAAGGCGTGTCGGGCGCGAACATGCTGTCGCAAGGCTTGAAGAAGGCCTATCTTTTCGGCCTTGGTGTCGTGAACTCCAGGTGTCACACTATGGCTACGCGCACGATGTCGCATGCGGCGCGCTGAGCTCGTGGTAGAGGGAGATGCAACTGGAGCCTCTTCCACATCGTCAACGAGTTCGATGGTCGCAGAATGAAGCAGCGAGGGGTCTGCCTGAGTGACAGACCTGCTCAAAGCCTGGAAAAGCGTTAATTGGGAAGCAAGGAATCCCGCGCTTAAGGTCGACTCACCGAGTAGCTGCTGTAGAATCGACTACTACCGCTTTGCCTCGCTCCTCCTGCGCCCGCGCCATTGCTGCTCTTTCCGGAGCTGGACGATCCAGTACCATTGCGGTTTCCTACCGTCGCAGGAGTCGAGGTCTGGAGATGAAGAACATTTCGGATAGTATGACCAGTTTGGTTCTGAACTACCGCGACAGCGCGAGATGTGTGGTGGATGAGCTGATTCGCTACCTTAGGTAGCATGACAAAGGATTGATGTGTCTTTTATAACACAAAAAGTCGGGCGTAGAGCGACATACGAACTCCGTAGAGTCAGCACAGGCGGGTGAGAGAAAGGTCGGGTGAAATGAGAAAACGTCCTTTTTCCTTATAAGGGTGATTCGTATTCAGTCCGCCTCTCGGCGCATTTCGGACTCCGCGTCGTAATGACTGATAGAGTTTAAGGGGCGCATCAACTGATGCGCCTCTGATTAGACCGACTGCGCGACCGCCGTCTATCTCATATCTCCTTTATCCCTGGAAGCATGAACCGGTTAGTAAAGTGTTTGTCAAATGCCTCTATCATTCTCTGACGCTTGTGCAGCGGACCAATCATTCTAGTAAAATCTATGTATGTTGTTTTTTAAGGTCTATACTGATGTCAAGCATCACTGCGCCTTCAATCTCTCAGACTATTGACGAGGCAGAGGCAAGTCAACTCCCAACTATCGTTGACATTATGATAGCTCACTACTTCTACTCGTGCGTTGCGAACAGTATCTGCTTGATCAGTTGGTGAGTGAGCCAGAGAACGTAAGCGTCGGGCTCGCCGAGTTTACCTACACCACAAAGCCACCGCCCAGCTCGGACGAGGACCCGGTGGCTACGAAGTTGCGAAAGCGGCTTCAGGATTTACTTACGGAACTACGCACTAATGCCGAAGGGATACGCAAGTCGGATTAAGAAAATGTGACCTTGTCTCAATGTGCTTATGTCACTTTCGAAAAAGTATAGTCTGCAGTTTGAGTCTTAAGCTCTGAGATAGTCGCAGCAGAAGCTGGAACAACGAACCAGACTTTCAGAGACGGCAATGGGGGTCCGCATTCGACTTTTATGCGCATCTTTGACGTGCCGGGGAGCGCGTGAGGAGAGTAAGGATGGGCGCTAAGCTAAGGCTTCCTAAATGGTGAGTTACATCAGTCGGACTCCGCAGACCCACGTTCGACTTCGGCCAATAATATTACCGCAAGACTCCGATTGCATACAACTCAGCTGCCTGCGTCGGCAACCTCACGCTGTCTACACTCATCGTGCAGAACACGCTTAGCAGCACCGTGGGAGATAGGCGCAAGAGCCGGATGCAGTGCGGAGAGGACAACGGCCAATGCACGATGATGCTGCCACCATACAACACGGCCGGTGCCGTGCACACGCATCAAGACGTCGCAGACCCGGTAACGATGCTGCGCTCGATGCGTCGAGTCGCCAAGCCCAAGGGATTTGTCGTCTGCCGCGGGACGGACATCGGCATGCTCGTACGCCGTCGCTTGTACAAAGGGACGCGGTACCTTCACTGCAGCTGTGAGAGCGTAGGGCTGGAGCCAGGCGGCGCCTGCATGTGTGGGCGTGTGAGGCTGAGTTCGATCCGGCCAGTATACAGCTGTTAATCAGCAGCTGAGCTTCTCGCACACCCGCGGAGAGGCTTGCATGGGGAGAGCTGTTTTTAGAAACTCAGGAGAAATCCGAGTGCGCTACGGTGGCACACCAAGGCTAGTTGCAACGGCTAGCGCTTAGGAGCTGGCACAGGCCTGGAAGGACTAGAAGGACTGGATGGAGACGGGTTGAGCGTGCTAGCGACTAAGGAAATGCTGAGGTCGAATAAATCCTCAGTACGCTTTGTTGCACCTGTGCACTTCTTGCATTGTCCCCCCATGGCTATGTACGATGATATCGGTCAGATTGTGCAGGGATCACTAGGATTTTGATGCTATATGCAGAGACTAATTTGATCCAAAGAGAGTTTGTCAGCTGGCATTCTAGTCGCAGCGGAACAACACCAAGCTCGCTATACTCTGAGCTACCGGCTCTGCGATGTGTCCCTTTGGACGACCTCACGCTCTCGTTGGATGGGTTTGAGATGACAGACTCAAGTGCAATAGATGTGATCAGAGATAGTGAGCTTATAACGTGAGTAGGACCAGACACGTGCGCGTTGCCTCGTTGAGAGCTCTCATAGGGACCCCTTTGTAGTGTGAAGCGAACGCCGTCGAGCTCAAACAAGCGGAAGGCTGCGGACGAAGGTTTGGCACTCGTTTTGTCCACGTTAGTTCAAGCTATACTGACCGCTTTCTAGCTCTGTCGTCATCCCTGCCTCCGAAACGCGCCAAATACACGACTCAACCACCTACCCCGATCTCCAAAGCGCAAGCCTCGCAGGAAACGAGTGCGGCAAGTCAACATCTGAACAAGTTGGCCAGAGAGGACCCGATTTTGGACTCAGCGTCAGAACCTTCCTCAGACTCCGGGACGAGCTCGGAATCCTCGGACTCGGACACTTCTTCAGACACTTCTTCGGATGAGAGCTCTTCAAGTAGCTCTGCGCCGTCTGCCGAACCCTCCAGAGCCCCAGCGCGAGGACAAACGAATCCCCAAGCACAGCAAAGGAATGCGCAAAAGTACAGGCCGTCCGTTTGAGACCCGAATAACATGACTTACATGCGTTGATCATTAGCACGCCTGTACACCATGCCCCTCCTGGACAGGGCAAGGCGACCACTCAAAACCGCAACGCTCGACGAAGGCGTAAGAAAATGTATCAACGACTCACTGCGCAAGCAGAACCAGCTAGCGCAAACGATATTTCACTCGGTGAACGACGAGCCATTCCAGAAGAACCTGTCCCGCCGGAGTTGCACTCTCAGCAGTCGCGTAGTACCACTCTCTCTGCGCCTACGTTTATGATGGCAAGTCTCTCGAATAAAAATAAACGCAAAGGCTTCAAGCAAGCGATGGCAGGATTGTTGCCTCAGAAGATTGTCTTCCCCGCCGAGGAGATGAGCACAGAACGGGCTGAGGAGGCACCTCTGCCTTTCGTAGATGTGCCTACAGCTGAAGTGGCTGCAGTTGCGCTGAATACTCGTCTTATTCCTCCTTCCGAGAAGCAGGAGAAGGGTCAGATACCTGCAAACATATTTGTGACGAGCATTGATGTAGAGGGAGATATGCATACGGGCAGGAAGAAGAACAAGAAGAAGGCCGCTGAGAAGAAACTTGTCGAGACGGACATGTCGTACGAGACGGCGGAGGTTGGAAACGTGGTGCTTGATTACGGGGAACCGGACGTTCATCTGCCGACGCAGAGGGATCAACCTACGTCTGAGGCTCCTTCATATCCTGAAGGCGACTGGAAACATGTGGAGAAGAACTGGGCGGACCTTGGAAAGCTTACCGAACATGAGCAGCTGCAGCCTGGTGCTTTGGTCGGCTGGAAGGTGCGCCCCTCGCGCTTGCCTATCTAACGACGTTTCGGACTTCTAACCAACACCTGGGATAGGCTCTTGGGATTAACCCTGCGACGTTCACACCAGAGTTCATGCTCAACGTAGGGCGAGTGGTCCGCGTCGGTGGTTGTTTGACTATCCAGCCTGTACACAAACCCGGAGCAGTCGAAGTGTCGTTTGGTGGGTATGCGGACGAAGCTGATGTGGTGCCTCCGGAAGAAGAGACGTTCGAGTGGAACGAGGTCTACACTGGAGACTGGAAGATTGTTTGAATGTGCATTGCATCTGTTCTGGTTATTATATGCTGCTATCTTGGCTACCCATCTCGTCGATGGCTGCTCTTGTCTAAGTTCGGCCCGAGTATCCGGGAAGATCAGCTGTGGTCGCTGGAAATTGCTTGACTCTGACTCCAACGACGCGATTTACGATTTCCTCGGACTTCTGGGAGTGTCCTGCATGTCTCTCGTCATACATCACTATACCCTCTAGACTAGCCTTATACTACACAGCCTAGACGACATGATGAAGGCAACCGAGAAGCGCCTCTACCTCACTCGGCACGCGCAGGCGGAGCACAAGTAAGCGACAGGCCGGCTCTAAGCACACGTACGTTGAGGCTGATAGAAACAGTGTAGCGAGCGACTACAGCAGTGAGTGGATCGTGTTAGGCTGTATCCGCGTACGCGGACTGAGTGTTACAGTCCCCGATGCGCCATTGACACAGCTCGGCCGCCAACAGTCCGAGGAGCTGTACAAGGCGACGAAGGATAACATTCAAAAAACCGCGGAGCTACTAGTGTCAAGCGCGTTGCGGCGGCCACTATCTACGATGGTTATCGGCTACAAGGATCTGCGGAAGAGGCTTGAAGCAGAGGGAAAGAAAGTCATCGTGCTGCCACAGCTTCAAGAGGTACGCCACAAGTGCGATTTCCTCCGATGTAGATCCTGATATACATTCACAGTGCAACGACCTTCCTTGTGACACGGGCTCGTCTCGCGAAGTCCTTGAGGCCGATCCCGAGTACGCTGGGCTTGACTTCAACGAACTGTCGCCCGAGTGGACGTCTAAGCAGGGCTTCTACGCCTGTACCGTCCCTGCGCTGCAGGCACGCGCGCGCTGGATTCGCTGCTGGTTACGATCACGTCCTGAGCGCGAGATCGTCGTCGTTGCACACGGAGATTGTCTCCGGTATGTGACTGATGGGTACAACTCGGGCGCGCTCTGGGCGAATGCCGAGGTGCGCGAATACACGTTTGAGAAAAACGAGGATGAAGATGTGCGCGACGAGGCATGGCTCGCGCCGGTGAAGGAGATTGCGAAGGAAGGTACCGAGGAGCGCACATCGTCAGAGGTGAAAGAGAGCAAGCAACACGGCGAGACTTAGCTTAAGCTACAATGTAATGGCACACGTAGCCCATGTGTATGCAAATTTGAAGACTCCATATAGAAAAGAATTTGTATGAGAAGCGCGGCGAGTCGCTACGCAGTCAATGTTCTCTCGAAAGCTGTTTTCGGGTTGCTATCTTCGTGGCTGGTATCTTCACGACTGGTGTTCACTTGGCTACGAGTTGCAGAATTCTTGTGGCTAGAAAAAACAAATAAATAATAAATATATCCGTGGCTGACCTTCTGGTCCGCCGCCTGCGGCGGTTGGCGGCGGCTCAGGCACAAAGCAGCCGGAATACATCACATCGGTCAGAGCATCGGAGGGGGGAGCAGAAGTAACAGAATTTGTGGCCGATCAGGGAATATCATAAAGGGCGAGGCTATGACAAATAATAAAAGACCAGTTACTTACTTTCAGGGCATGTGGTCAAAGATACGAGTTAACGAGCTATTAATGGATCATTATTGCTCTTAAGATCTTGGCGTTGGGCGTTACCGCAAAGTCCGCGGCAGCACGATGAAACAGTAGCTCAGTGAGACAGTACTTAATATAAGCATGCACGCCGCTTGGATCGCTCAGAAGCATTTAAAAAAGTCTGTCCTTTCCAACAGGACGCTCCTCGTAAGTGAGGACCCATGACAATTGGTGGGAAGGCCTGAGGACAGATTTTGCCGATTTTGGCCTTTAGGTACGGACAAAATTTGCATGATGAGCCCAAAATGGTATGGATTTTCCTCCTGGTCCGGCCTGACGGCCGGACTTTGGTACGGACACTGACTCAGGCCTATCGGTTTCCTCACCTGTACCACGCCTGTTATTCCTTCGTGTATAGTATACTCATACATACTACACAGATATACACTACTCTTCATAAATATCATTGTTCTCAGTCCCTTCGGTTGTCATTGCAGCTGCCGCTGCCGCCGCCTGCTTCTCTCCATGTGTCACGGCAGCCTGAACTCTTGAACGAGAGGTAGGACGGCTGAGCTTGCAGAATATATGGTAGGCTGTGTCATTTAGCTGTAGCACCCTCCGATCTTGCGAGAAGGTTAGTATGTCTCCGGGTAGCATGCATAAGAAGTGGTCTAAAGGTGCATGCCATGGTAAGAATGATAAGCTTTGCAGTGCCATGACATGCTGGTGGATCATGCAAAAGCAGTTAATGTTGATGGTTTGCTCATGAACTTGAACCGCAACGTATGATGCCTGTCCAATGGAGGCGACGGTCTCCTGCCAAGCATGAACGCCAGCCTTGCCACCCAACCGACAATAAACAGTAGCACGGCGGGAGGGACGTCGCTCCTATCCAGTCGGATGGATTCCACCGTACCCTGTTGGCAGAGAGGTCATGGTCAGAGTCGACGTCTATGGGAGCTGCATTGGGGGACATTGTCGCAGCACAAAGAGGTGCGGCCAGGGGTTTGTTGCACCAGCAGCGGAAGCAGACTTGGCCTGCACACTGCCGCCGCCGCCTGCCGGTGTTCGGCGGGTTGACTTGTCAATACAACTGGGTCATACTCTAGAGGCTATGTGAAGGATGCATTAATTATCTTTGGCCTTCAAAATATCTTCTTCATGCTCTCGGTTTTTGTCTCTATCGTCCTTAATTCCCAATCTAAGGCATCCACTATAGAGGCTGATGGAGAAGCAGAGCTGAATCCCCAATGTGCACGAGATTGTGACAAATCCACTCAATTTAGGTAGTATTGGATCTAAAGTTGGGTATTTAACCCGGAAGGACACCAACACTTGTCCAGACTACCGGGTATGGATTGTCCTCAGACATTAGTCAGTTTTCGTTGGCCGGTATGTATGAAGGTTGGGCATGGACAAAAACCAGCATGTCGTAAACTAGAAACATGCAAAAACTCGTTTTCATTTGAGAGGTGAGCGCCCACGCAACACATTGCCTGAGAGTGCCCAAAAATACACACAGATGCACAGACGTGAACGTACGTGCACGTACATGCACGCGCATGCACGAGCGCGAACTAAAGCGCAACGTCGCCAAACTGGAACTGGGCGGCGGCGTAAATCTTGAACTCGCATCAGCGCTACCGTACGGGCCGAAGTGCATGTAGGTGCACTTTCTTGCGCGTCGGTGTCCCAAAGGGTATCTAGCTGAGTACATATCATGCGGGTTAGCTGTGCGATTGTCAACATTTTGCACCAGCGTGCACAAAGGTGCACTTTGTAATAAGCTTGCGCACTGCCGTCATAGCCGCCCAACGAGTTTGACATGGGCGATAGCGAGTTTGATGGGGATGATAGCGAGTTTGACACGGTCGGTAGTGCACGTACGTGCACTTTTGTGCGCAGCTGTGCATCACCATGTACATTAGCACACCAAAATGTGCTAATGCGCACAGCTGTGAACGCAGTACTATAGTAAGTGAATGCACCCTCACTTGTTGTCAATCACGCGCGGCGAGAACCAGGTTTCCATTGCGAGTTTTGATTTTTGTCCATCAAAGACTGTGATAGGTATGGGCGATTCCTCAGAGCTCCCGGCCTATCGGCCGGGTTTGGGTACGGATTTTCCCTCCGCGTGAGGGGTCCCGACGGCCGTTTTGGGTACGGATTGTCCTCAGGCCCTCCCACCAATTGTCATGGGTCCTCGTAAGTGGTGGTCACTCTGCAGTAATTCTCCACGAGCTGTCCTAAATTAACAACTAGTTAGCGATATGCCGCGAGAAACGCCAAAATACCACGTCGGTCAGACCAATAATATAGTCAATGCCTTTGCGAAACGCACCGCGGAAGATTCCTGCGCGTACTTGCTATCATCGCTTACACCCGACATGACCATTCTCGATGTCGGCTGCGGACCTGGTAGCATCACCATCGATCTTGCGAGGCACGTTCCGCGCGGTCATGTCGTCGGCATCGATATCGAGGCCGCAGCCTCAACGTTGGACAAAGGACGCACACAAGCCCAAATGGAAGGGGTCATGAATGTCGAGTTTCGAACTGGTAACGGGTATACACTGCCCTTCCCCGACGATACTTTCGATGCGACGCATTCGCATCAGGTCTTACATCAGATTGATGACCCGGTGCATTTTATGCGCGAGATGCACCGAGTGACGAAGCCAGGTGGATTTATCGCCTCCCGCGTTTGGGACACAGGCTCGTGGATTTTACACCCGCAGGATGAGGGCATTACATCTTTCCGCACCATGACGCAGCGTATCAACAGCGAGCGCGGACTCGTGCCGTTTGCAGGAAGGAACCTGCATATCTGGGCACGCAAGGCCGGCTTCGAGGCTGGGCGGGTGAAGATATCGACAAGCACTATGACGTTTCGCACTCCGGAAGAGCGGATCTATGTCGGGGAGCTCTTCAGAGCAATATCCCAGGAGTCTGACTTTGCGACAATGGCATTAAAGAAGGGGTATGTTACCGGAGAAGGCCTTGAGAGAATGGCAGAGGGGTGGCAGAGATGGATTGACGACGACGATGGGCCGTTTGCTTGGATCAACTTCGAGTTGTTATATCAGAAGTAGGGCAAGGACCTCACATAGGACTACATTACTTTCGACCTACGGCGAAACAGACAGTTGGCAGCTATATAGACACATGGCAGCGAGTCTTTCAACCATATGGTCTGAAATATACGGAGTTATAAACCTACAATCTTACCGCCGCAGAGCGGACATTGAAATGGGCTGACCGAGTAATAATGCAAGCTTTAAGAATTTCTTATCAAATAGGGATCGGACTTAAAATCCTCACTGGTGTGAACGCCACGAAGGCAACAGGTTGAGTTGTGTTCAACATCCGAGTCGGCAGCGGAAGTAAGGCCGTATTGTACATACTGACCTTCTTATTCTCCTCAGAGTGGTAGTCGAAGGAGGAAAATCTCTCACACGACGTTCCCCTGCTACACTTGCGATACGATGCCTCCAAGTCCTAGTCCCAGTATTTTCGAGGCAAAACGGACGATGGAGACAAAGGTCGCCATTATTGAAGACGATCCGCACCGCTTCAAACTAAGTCCCCTTAGAACAGTTCCTTCTGGTCAACGTGACAATGTTTCCAGTCCCTCGATGAATTTTGACCGTCCCTTCGTTGGCTGTCGCCTTCAACCACCCTCCCTGTATCAACTCGCTCCCTCACGAAGCGCATCTATCTATTCCTTCCCGAGTGTAAACAGCGTCAATTCCGAGAATGGAAGCATTCAGGTGAGCTCTTGTTCAAGCCGCCGATAAGTCGAGCGGGCTGAACGGATGGCTGCAGACCCAACCTATCTCTCCTCTCAGCGTAACATCCTTCTCGCTCAACAAACCGAACCCTTCAAATGATAGTAGTGGAGCTGGGCTTGGGCTGCACAACCTTGGATCGAGTCGCTCTGTCTCCGCTGGCTCCCTCGCTGCAGCCGCCAACATAACCGCTTGTGAAGACACTGGCAGTCGGTCGTTCTCCTCTTCTAGCAGTCTCTCTTCGCAGCGCTCCTGGGTCAGCGTCTCTCCTGGGTTTGACTTGACTTTTGGTGCAAGCGACGACTCTTCCGGGCCCTGTCTACATACGCCCGATCCTGCCCCTCTGCCGCCCTCCCAGTCCTCGGAAAGCTTTAGAAAAGCAAAGAGCATGCACGTTCTTGCAAGCTTGTCCTGTCTGGAGAGTCCTCTGAAGCTCGACTCTAAGCATGCATCTTCTCTTCCTCGATCGACGTCTCTACGGCACTTGAAGGCCAAGACCGTCACTCCATTCTCAGATGAGAAGGGGGAGTCACACAGGCATAAGCGACATGCTATCTACGGACCAGGCGACCGTCGCATGCGACTCTCACTGTCGTGCAAGGACTGGAGCCCTTCTGCCCCGCCACAAACCCCCATACTTGCAGAACTCGGCAGCGACTCTAGCTCTACATCTCTCGAACCTAGTCCTTCTGTCCTTGCCGTTGAGCGCAAAGAAGCTTCGCGTCGCGTTTCCCTGAAGAACGCTCTTCATGTTCCTGTGTCTGCTCAGCGATCTTTTAGGCGTATCCTGGACCCTATCAACCCAAACACATCCTCTTCAGCTTTCCTCTGTGTTCCCCCGATCTCCACTACTGAGAATCCAACTCTTCGTCCTCAGGCTCCAACAGATGCACCCGTTGTGCCTTTGAAGTTCAAGCGCACTCTAAATGCACAAACGACCGCGAACCCTTCACGCTATGATGTCGTTCATCACCACCCTATCATCAGAGAACTCCTTCAAGACATCGACACTGCTATCATCGAATGGGGTGCCGTGGGCTCTCTCACCAACAGATTTTAAATATATAAGAATGGCACAACACCCGTTGATAGCATTATTTGCCGGTTACATTACTACTTGTTCTACTGGAGACTGGAGTAGGGTATCATGTTAAGTTATGCAGAAATCAATTGATGAATGGTGAGAGGCATGCACGAAGAACGAATAAAGTAAGGGATAACGGATATAGGACGCCAGCATCGGAACACCTTCACAAATACAAACAACATCGCAATAAGTTAAGTGGGGGGTGCGGAACCTACTTAACAAGACCGTGTTATAAGTTAATATGCCGGGCCCTTACCTTCCGAGATCGCCTTCCGAATGGGATTTTGGCTGGACGGGAGAGCGCCGCTCTTCTCGAGCCGATCGAACAGCACGAAGAGTTTCTCAGCCTCGCGCTCCTTCTCCTCCTCTGTCATCTCCGGGCCCGTGTCGTTCTGCTGCTGCGCGACGCCTGTGATAGGATTGATCGGCGTGCCGTCCGCGGTCGTCGACGGTGGACCGTGGCCCGCAGAGGGAGGCGCGCTCATGATGCCTTTGTTGAACAGAAAGCCAGCGACGTTGCCGTAACCAACGTACGACGCTAGTGTACTCGCTACGTGAGAGAAGTATAGTTAACACACGATTCACTCGTAGACAACTTCACGGGTCCTTACGATCTGAATCACAGACAGCATATAGCATCTCGCCGGTGGCGTCTTTGAGCCGACTATGGTGAATGCAGCCCAGGAGCCGCAAGCTTCTGCCCAGCAGGTCCGCACGTTCCTCGAGCGGGCTTGTCCGGTCAAGGTCTTCCGGCAAAATCCAGTCTCGCATACGTTTCCGTGCACCTTCCTCAGCCTGGCAGAGCTTCGTGATGAGTAGTACCAGAGGACAGACGAGGTCATCGAGGGTACTGTCGCTCTCAGTTTGGCAGCGTTCTCGCACGGTGCCATCATCAGGGTCTATGTCGCTCGGAAGGTAATGCGAAAGGGTCACATCTAGCAAGTCGAATGCGCGGAGCAGGGTGTCTTGATTGGGCTGGGTAGACGACGACCGGTGCGACGACTTGCGCGCGACGGATAGCCTAGAAAACGCGCGGTCGAATGCGCCATGCTTTGACTCCTTGCTGTTGGGAGATTCGCTGCGGCTGCCCGAGGCTGTGGGCGAGTCGGGTGCCGGCGGAGAACTGACAGGGGAGATCGGCTTGGATGACGACCGTGGTGAGGCAGGGTTGCTTAGCGGCGGAAACCACTTCGATCGGAGTGACGGGGTTACGGGAATGGTGATGAGCGCGTGGATCACATAGATCATGGGGGAGGCCAGGGGCGCGGGGAAAGTTGGCGGTAGTAAGTTAAAAAGCCGCAGCAGCGGTGGAAGAATACTGGAAAGATATCAGTACCAGAAAGCGTTAAATTAAAAGGAACGTCATACCCATCCAGCCGGTCGCTCCAGCAGTCCCCGATGACCTTCTTCCCATCACTAGTGCTTGGAGAATCGTCGGCAAGCTGCACTGTGATGAGCCTGTCGCTGCTCCATTAGATACAGAGCACGTACCTTCGGATAATGTAACAGTATATTGAATAGGGCTTTCAGCAGCTCGGACATAGCCTCACGAGCCATCTTCTCACTTCCTAGTATGCTGGTAGTGAGGTTTTCAAGCTTCCCACCAATGATCTCGACGACATTGTTGTGGTGTCCCGGGGGCTTATTTTCAATGAGACCCTTGATGTAATCGCCGGCACTGGCTATGGAAACGGTCGTGAGGAATATGAGGCGTGAGCAGAGGAAGATCCGTTCCGGAGACGCCGTTTTCTATGCACAGGGTGAGCGAATGACGGGTAGTGGGACACGTGTACGCACCTCGAGAAGGTCGAACGTGAATTCGCTTCCCCCGACACCCTTCTGGATGAAGAGCTTTCGGGAGGGCTCGATGAGCAGTAGCGCGTTGCAAACACATTTGAGAGCTTCATTGGAAGCCTCTGCATCGTCTTTGAAGGCCCTGAACGTGTCAAGAAGGGAAATGAGGTTCTGGCGAGTAGCCACCACTTGGGATCCGGCAGGATGCTTTCCAAGGGCCTTGATTGCAGCCAGTGCTGGCGCAGTGTCTACCTTTTATGTTCAGTAACGCTCCATTTGTCGCGTAGACTCAAGTTTCACCTTTCGCAGTGAGTCGTGATTTATTGGAAGACGAGCTTTTCATCAAGAGCGTAATGTCATCAAGAATCATTTGAATGAGCTCTGTGCGGTCGCTGCACATCATCGCGGCTTTCTTACGCGTCAGATAGCTTCGCGGGAAAAGGAAAATTCGCTCACCATCGGCGATAGACTGCAAGACGGTCGCGACCTCCGAGCGCGAAGACGACTGGGTGAGCGCAGCGTAGGCCTGACAGTAGTTCGACATCCTGGTAATGTTGTATAGTGTTCAAAACTTTGTCCGGATGTCTTGCAGCAGATCGAAACGAGTGGCCGTTGTTCAGGGGAGGCGAGGGTCAGATCGGGTATGAAAGAATGGAGATGTTAGGTGTAGCAATTGTGAGACGCCTCCGGGGTGGGATGATACGGTGCAGTGGTATATATCACGCTCAAAGCGTCGGCGACGAGGTATTTTGGAGAGTTTAGAGAGAATGAAGAAAAGAAAAAGAAAGGGCGAGCCTTGGGAGGCAATGATGAGTGCGTAGAGCAAGCTTGGAATGGATATTTTCGTTCATCGACAGATTCGCCGGCATGACTGCGACCGCGTCTTGCCGGGCGAAAGTTCAGACGAGAATCCAATACGAAATACTTGGGACAGGCACCACTCGAAGAGTTTTCCACACTGTAACCAAGACGACCAAATTAATACATGGCGATCAAATCTGTACTGAGTGTGAACAAATCAGGAAGGTGTGAATCGGCATGGTCGCTCTGCTAAAGAATACAAAGCACAACCGAAGGGGTCAGCAGGGGGGATTATACTCTTCTGGGGGGACGTGAGAGGGCAAGAGAACATGACTCCCCAGGACAATCGGAGCCGTGAGTAGCATTCAACAACGTCCGAAGGCCCGTAGCAATGGCATCGCCAGCGCATGCCACCGTTTGGCTTTCTAGACAGGACGACGTCTCGTACATCAGAGACTCTCTCCAAGCTGTCGATCCTGAGACATTGTCCGCACATCGAACGTGATCAGAGCGTCTCCGTCGATATGGGAAGTCCGGTCCAGGCGGAAATGCGGCGAGTCGTACGTTCGATGAGAGCGACACGGGACGAAGTTGCCGGTTGTGAAGGGAGGGCAGAACGGCGCCATAACATTCGCCCACTTGAAAGCTCAGATATGCCCACTGCACCAGTCGGAGAATGTGGGGGCTTAAATCCATTTCAGCCGTGCATGCCGTTCCCGTTTGCATTGCCATTCAGATGTGCAGAGGATCCGGGTATGGGCGGTACTTGGACGTTGGTGCCGGAGGATTCACTGAGGTATTCCTTCAGGTCAGGGAAGCTCTGCATTAGAGCCTCGTTATAGTACTCCCTGTAGGACTGTAACGGTATGATCAGTTTTGCATGGGATGGAAGGTGTATGGACCAAGCAAGTCGCAGTCGCAGACCGCAAGGGAAGCGCTGAACTCAAGAGGATAATATGACAGAAATGCCTACTTTGATTGCTTGTATCTTGCCATTCATGAACTGGTTCTCTGTCGCCGCTCGCTCTAGCCTGTCCCGTGTCAACTGCATCGGGTTTCGCGAATTGTCAATCTCAGCGAGCACCTGCACTGGAATCATGGTGGAAACATTCTGGGACATGTTGTCGATGGCGGCCAGGTGGTTTATGACATCGTTCCTGTAAACTCACATTAGCACAGACCCAAGGCGAATAATAAGAGCACGTACACTCGCATACCAACTTGCTTGCCGCCGCCGCCAGGTTTGTCCTTCTCTTTTGTCAGATCGCTAACCACAGTTGTGCCGAGGTTATACAATGCGTTCGCGAGCCCGAGGAGTTCTTGCTCCAGTTCGCCCTGTAGCCCGACAGGCACAGGCGACTCTGACGACCGAGGGGAATCTGGTGCAGGCGTTGAGATTCCCTTGGCCATGCTTGTAGTAACAATCGCTGTACGCGCGGAGCTGGGTAGATGAAGGTGACGAGCAAGTGGTGGGGTCTGTTCGAACAGCGCTAGGGGGAACTTACTAGCGTTGTTATCCACATAAGCAATCTAGCTAACGCCTGCTACTTATGGTCATTGCTTGCTGGAGTAATGTCACACGCCTTGTAGCTTAGAGGCAAATAAGAGTCCATAGCCAGTATGTACGCCAGTTGCGCGAAGCAGGCAAATCTGTTTGCTAATTGTGGTCAATGAGCTAACCGTGATCAAGAGCTGCACACACAGATGTACGCGTTGTACACGAGCCCACTTGCACAGACCCGAAATGGGAGTTTGTACACCATGGAAGGCAAGTTTCAGAGAGACTTCAATGTTTGTCACTTGCACAGGAACGTTGAGCGCGGATTACCATGAGTATATTACGATCCCCAGAATAGTAGCAAGTCCAGATCTGACTATGTCGAAGGGCTGTCGAAGGGCTGTCGACGAGCTTTAGAGGCATATATGTCCCGCGTGGCCGGATAGTGTCCGCATCATCCAGTTTCACGCCAGTGCAGGTCGACGCTAAGACTATTGGTGAGCCGACATCACCGGTATCAGGGTTCGTTCAGCTGGCCAGAAGCTGTTGGCAGTCCTTCAAGTGTGTCCGGCAATATTACTTATTCGGTGCATCTAGTATAGCTGTCTTTTAGATCTTCATACTCTTGGCTTCATTGCTATCATTATTGCGACTGAAGATGTTTGTCGGATATTGCTACTGTGCTGATAAAACACGGTAAGTAAGCTCATTACTACTGACTTTGGTATCAGAGACGCTTGATCAGTTTGTTCCGGACCATCAGCTTGCGTATCGACGGCCACCGCTAGTTTGCCGCTAGTGCTACATTCCAGCTGGCCTACCTAGAGCCAGACTCCCATCCTTCGCGTATACTAGAATCTTGTCATCCTCTTGCCTTTCTTTTTGCGAATTTGCCACAACACTCCTTCCACTCATCCGAACTTGCGTTATCTCCGCTGTAATTGGAATACCCCTTCACTTCTCGATTATCTGTACCAGTCGGTAATACCTCTACCGTTGTTAACTTTGGAACACTGATATCCCGGGGACTGCGTCTCCTTGTACCACCTCTCGCACCATCATGCAAGCTAATGACGATCGTTCTGTCCGTCGTCCTGTCAGACAGGATACTTACGACCTTCGCGACCAAATCGCCACAGACGAGCATTCCCACCACTCTCACGACATGGGCTACCCTTCGGACGAAGAACATTCCGTACTGGAGGACGACTCTGACGGGGAGAACGGAGATGACTACATGGATGAAGACGACGGCTCCTCTTCACTGTCTATCCCGAACGAGTCTATCGACTTTGACCTGGTCTACGCCCTTCATAGCTTTGCGGCGACCGTGGAAGGCCAAGCCAATGTCGTTAAAGGGGACAGTCTGTTCCTGATGGACGACAGTAACAGCTACTGGTGGCTTGTGCGCGTTCTCAAAACCCAAGAAGTGGGATATATTCCCGCCGAAAACATCGAGACGCCGTTCGAACGCCTGGCTCGTCTCAACAAGCATCGCAATGTTGATGTGAGTGTGAAGGCTTGTCACGTTACTCTGTGCTTCCTGACCGTCAACTGTCCGATAGTTGGCATCAGCAACGCAAGCGGAACTTGCAGAGACTCGCGATAGACTGCTTTCGTCGCGTACCGGTTCAAATCATGCGTCGCCCTCCCCAACCCCCGGTGGGAGCCGCGGGGGCCTACGTGGTCGTTCTCACTCGATCCGTAGCGTCATCTTTACTGCCAACATGAACGTACATCGGTATCCCCCCGCTGTCTGGGGTGATGACGAGGAAGAAGATGACGAGGACATTGAGTGGGATGACGAAGATTACTCGGATATAGACCCCGATCTCGCCGAAGAGCTAGCTCTGGAAGAGCGTGAGAAGGCCGGAGGTGTTGACGCGGAGTTGCCCCCTGGGATGGAGCCGGACGACGGTATCAGCTGGGAGGAGGGCACTGTAGAAAGCATGCGCACCGAGCAGCAGAAGTCACAAGACCAAGTGGTGGTCACATCTTCCGCCCCCGACGGTGGTCTTGAGCAGCAGCAACAAGACGCGATTCGCAAGCAGGAGATGATTCAGCAGCGTTTGCAGCAGGAGCAACAACGTACCATCTCTCCAGCCGCTCAGCAGCCGTTGGCTGTCCCTACCTCGACTTCCCAGGAGCAGTCTGCGGTTAGCCAGACTGATGTGGCCTCCAGTTCTCCAACATCCTCTGTATCGAAGGTCATGGACCCTGCTGCAGTCACTGAGACACGCAAGGTCTCTATCACTCCGGCTGTGGCCAGGTCCGTTGATGAATTTCAACCCAGTGGGCCTTTGCTCCCCAGCGAGGTCGTGCGGCAACGACCAGAAGAGCGCAAGCGTACACGCGAGGAGATCGAGGCGCTCGAACAGGATCAGCGCAAGAAGGCGAATAAAGGCAACGGGCGTCCCAGTGGCGGCGCGCCCGAGCAGAAAGCCTCTCCAGCCAAACTGCGCAAGGAGCGCGATTCGCGGACAGAGAGTACGACTGACGACGAAGGCAGCAAGGACAAGAAGAAGAAAGGCGGTGTACTCGCTGGTTTGTTTGGACGCAAGAAAGATAAGAGCAAGGACAAGAATAACGCTGGGGCTAGCTCGGACAACGGAAGCCTCGCCAGCGGTGGCAGTGTCGATAACATATCCAGCAGGAATTCTGGCGAGTCTGGTCGCTCTAGCAGCCAACAACACTCGGACGGCTCATCGCCGGTCACTTCCAGCGCTAGACAGCAGCAACAACAGGCGATACTGCAGGCCAAGAACTCCGCCGACCCTCGTCGCGCTCAAGGCCAAGCTCAACAGGGTGCCCAAGGCTCCATTCATCCGCAGATCTCTCAACATGCCACGCAGCTGCGTCAGCGTGACCAACAGCAACAGGCTCTGTACCAGCAATATCTCAACCGCTCGCCCGCTTCGCCGCCGGAGGCCCAGCCGTCGTATGGTTTGCAGTCTACGTCTGCCATCATGGGCTCCATGTCGTTCAGTTCTACCACGAGCTCAAGCAGCGGACTCACTGCGGGTGGCCGGCCCCGCCCTGGATCACTTGTTCTTTCGCCGGGTGGTATGGATGGTCAAGGGGTCGGTCTGCCCGACCTCAGCGTTATCCGTGTCTTCGCCGGGGAGAACCTGCAAACAGAAGCAACGTTCAAGACCGTTCTGCTCAACTCGTCGACCACAGCCTCAGACCTTGTTCGCCAGGCAATTCAGCGATTCCGCCTTCCTACCGGCGACGGCGACAGCGACTACTATCTCACGATCAAGCAGGTCGAGGGCTCATCTGCTCAGCTCATGTCGCACGAAAGGCCGCTCGGCGTGTTTGAGTCGCTCGTCGAGGCCGCGATGGAGTTGCCCAAGGTGAAGCGTAGCAGCGTGGGAAGTATCAGCTCCGTGGCAAGTAACCTCTCGATGCACCCCGCAATCAAGAAGCTTCCTATGAACGATTTTACGGACGACTCCGCGGTCAAGTTCTATCTAAACCGCAAGCGTGGGGAGAAGGAGGAGAGCATCACTGGTGACGACGGCGAGGACACCCTCATGGCTGAAAGTGTAGAGGACGACATGGGCTCGCCGCGTTCGAATCACTTCTTGTCAATCAGTGGTGCAACTGTTACGCCCGAACGGTTTAGTTCGCCCTCCGTCCGTTTCGCTTTGCAACTGGTGATCCATCCAGAAGACTTGCCAGACGACATGGTCTTTGACCCACTCACAGAAGCGATCGTCTTCAAGGATACGCTACGCGACCGCCCGGGGGACATCATCTCGTCGCCTGGTATCTCGCAGACTCAGCGCAAGAAGATCTTCGTCTTCCCGAAGAATGCCACGGTTGCTGAGGTAATTGAACATGGCTTGGAACGCTTTGGCATCGCTGAGGGCGTCGTGGACGGTGGGGACGAGGTCGAAGACAAGCCTGCGAAACGACGCAGCTCGTCCCGTGTCCGCTACTGCCTCGCAGTGGACATCCACGGTTCCGGTCAGTGACTTCAACCGTATCTGTTTACTTACACCAACTACAACCGCCTCTATAGAGAAAGAGCTGGCCCCGACGAGCAAGGTCATTGACGCGTACCCAAGACCGCCGGCATATAGGCGCTCTGTTGATAGCAAGCGTCGCTCTGCTGACTCAGCGATGCTCTTGAGTAGCTCAGAAGACATTGGACCTGACGATCCTATCTTCATACTACGTAGAGCGGTAGCTTACCGACCCTCTTCCCGTCGTTTGTCGGCACCTCTCGATGAGATTGCCCTGCAGAAGCTTCATCGTGCTTCACTGAGCATCTCCAGCATCGCAACTGACTCGACTACGGGGCCGGATGAGCCCAAGAAGCAGATGTCCAAACAGGAGATCATTGCTGCTCAGCGCGCCGCGACGCGTGCGAACCAGCGTGCGATCCTGTCTGCCCAGGCGAATTCGTCCCGCGGTCTCGACGTGCTACTCCCTGGCAATGCTGGCATGATCCGCAGCTCGCGCCACGAACTTGATGATCGCATGCGATACTCGTACATGGATGCCAGCGGTACGATGTACGACATCAGTGACATCGTCGAAGTCGAGTGGCAGAGCGAGGTCGGTTCTAACGGGAGCACCACTCAAAGCGATTTGCTACACGGCGTCATCAGTCGTAGCAAGGATGGCCTCGGTGCCAAACTTGATCGCGTGCTGAGCCAGGTCAGACAGCCGAGAGCTGCCCAGCATACTCCACAGCCTGTATATCGCGATGGTACCGACTCCATTGGGACGCCATCAGTATACTCTACGGCTGAAGGCGGGCCTAATACCTCCCGCTCTGCGACTCCTAATGCGCAAACGATGAATGCCAGATCACCTACGCCCACCAATACGGCTGTCGCCGCACGTGCTGCTTCACCTCTGTCACGCCTTTCCAGCTACCGTACCACGAGCGAAGGGGCGTCTGACGGCCGTCGTACCGCTAGCCCCTCATCCAGCCCCCACAAGGCAGCCAGACCTTCCCACGACCGCCAACAGTCTCTGGCATCTGTCATGTCTGACTCGTCGTCGTACCGAGGCCAGTCGCCGCACCGGAGTCAGTCGCCGCCGACGCCGCGTGCGTTCAACCGCGCGCCATCGGCGACGAAGTCTCAGCGCATGGTGCTACCGAAAGACGATTTCGGACTGGCACAAATGCTCGCGATCATTGAGTCCAAAGACATGCCCGCAACTAGGGCAGACCTTCCGCCGCTGGACCCGGTGGACGAGCTGCTCTTTGGCAGAGAAATAGATCTCGAGACACTTCATCCGCAGATCCGCGATATTTATTCTAGTACCTTCAAGCAGCTGGAAGAGATGGACTATGTGCGTATTGCTCGTTCTCGACGACACTTTACATGCTGACCGACGCTTTAAACAGTCTCTCGACGAACTTCTTCAGTATGTTGCTCACGCATTTTGACCCGCTCTACGTCATAATTGGAATTATTTATCCGTTGCACCTACCACAATGTGCTTTCTTTATCTATTTATTGCTTATTCCTCTCGCACACAATATTTCTGCCATGCAACAACGAGAAGTGTTCGCCACCGCAGACGGCAATCACTGAAGGTTTGCACGCCACAGCAAGCGCTAGTTATAACGACCGTCAGATACCTATCTGCTTGGACTTCCTCGCCCTCCCACTACACGCTGCCAGCAGGCGACCTCGGAAAGCGAGCTCCCAAGTACTGGAGCACTGAAGAACAAGATGTAAACTGGCCGCTTCATGAAATCGCACAGACGTCCGACTTGAACCCCAGCTATAGTAAGTTATTACGTGTAGGAAGTCGAAGAAAGTATGCATCCTCGTCTCATTTGACATATCGGCGTTGCTACATTCCGGAGGGCCACAGCACGTAAAACGACTCTGGCGGCTCCCCTAGTACTATCCCTGTACCACGTTTGATAAACGGGACAGTGTTGATAATTTGCATTCCCCCATGGCTACGCTTTCTTGTTGAGATTGGGATTATTTATTTTGGTAGTATAAACTACTACGAATACTACAGAGCAAAAATCAAGGCAAAATACCAGAGGCTTGAGCGAAAGGAATTTTGAACATTCCGTGCAGTACACCAGAATTGTCCCAAATTACAAATTGACCTTGAAAGGCGCTGATCTTGAGATAGCCTAGAAGTCAGATTCTAAGGTACTTACAAGGGCCTTTTAAGGCCCTTAAAAGGCGTTTAAAGGATTTCGTTCCGCTTACAAGGTACTTAGAAGAGGGACGAAACGTCTCAAGCCCGAAATGTAATTTCACTACGGGCATGAGCTGATTTCAGATCACCTGAAATGTCCTGGTCAAGCCATCAAAACTGTTTCATTTTTGAAGACTTAACCGGGGCTTTCGGGCGTCCCAAAATGATAGATTTGCTACCACTTTCGTAGCCATTTGCAGTGCAGGAACATGATAAATTTTGTGTAGCCTGAAATGAACCTGAAATGACTCAATATGACTACATTTCAGTACAGCAAAGAGTTCATGTTTCAGGAGACTTTGTGGCGCATTTCAGGACATCTGAAAGAACATATGTAGATATCATTTCCGCCTCATGTTTGCAATGAGGAAAGGTCCAGGCAAGGAAAACTTTTGATGGTCCTGAAATTGCCATTTCTGATGAATTTTGAAGCTATTTTATGAGCTAGAAGATTTTTACTTGAGATAAGTCAGAGACGTCCTAGAAATGTACTACAAATCTGCCGTAAATGGTAATTTTAGGACCATCAAAAGTTTTCCTTGCCCGGACCTTTCTTCATTGCAAACATGAGGCGGAAATGATATCTACATATGTTCTTTCAGATGTCCTGAAATGCGCCACAAAGTCTCCTGAAACATGAACTCTTTGCTGTACTGAAATGTAGTCATATTGAGTCATTTCAGGTTCATTTCAGGCTACACAAAATTTATCATGTTCCTGCACTGCAAATGGCTACGAAAGTGGTAACAAATCTATCATTTTGGGACGCCCGAAAGCCCCGGTTAAGTCTTCGAAAATGAAACAGTTTTGATGGCTTGACCAGGACATTTCAGGTGATCTGAAATCAGCTCATGCCCGTAGTGTTT